GACCAGTCGGACCAAAACAAGACCAGTCGGACCAATTAAATTATATTATAAGGCTAGACAATATGCTATTTATTTATTATTAAATCACAATACAAAGAAGCAAATAATTCTTATACGGAATTCTTATATTTAGAGTTGTTTAGTTCAATTTTGTGTACGGAAAATAAATCAACGATTAGTTTTAAAATTAATTAATAATGGTGACAAAAAAAAATATCAATCTAATTTTTCTTATTTACTCTTGCAATGAGACTCGGTATGTCCAGACTTTTGACAGTTTTTACATATACGGGTATACTGTTCTTATCTGATGGCCTAATTTTACTTTTTCCACATTCGCGGTATCCCCAGTGGTTTCATTCCGTTCTACCCCACTAACCACTGGGTTAATATATGGGGGGGGGGGGGGGGAGACACGTTTTCAAGTTATCCGCCCTTGATGCGTTAATATAAACAGCCCATAATAATACAAAGACCGGACGTTTATAATATGCACCTTTTTAAACGTGACTACAAGTGTGGTTCTCGATATTTTGCGATTTGGGATACAATTATCAATTTATTCAAACAACACGTTATTATTAGTTCGAGTAGTCATATTAAAACACACACAATTATCAATTTATTCAAATAACACTTTATTATTGGTTCGAGTAGTCATATTACAATAAACACAATTATCAATTTATTAAAATAACACTTTATTATTGGTTCGAGTAATCATATTAAAACAAACGCAATTATCAATTTATTAAAACAACACTATATTATTGGTCCGAGTCGTATTTCTGTTGGGTCCAAATAGTCTTTTTGTATGGTCCGAGTAGTCTATTTGTTTGGGCTGAGTGGTCTATCAGTTGGTCCGACTGGTCTTGAACCGGGTGGTCTTTGGTGCGAGTGGTCATGGATTCTTGTCGTAATTGTACTTGAATTTCCTATGCTGTCACCCCTAATACGAAATGATATCCTCCGCAGAGTGACGTAACCATCTTCCATATTGGTATTTTTCTCTGGGAAAAGTTTGTGATATTTCAATTTTTCAAGAGAGAACTTGTTTTCATCGTTGTGATAATTAGTTGTGCAATGGATTTTATCGAACGGGAGTTGATTACAAACACACAGGTAAGTTTATAATAACCAAAGTTAAGTAGTTTGTTCATAATCGAAGAAATCTGTTTAAAATTTACCAAGACTCAGACAGTAGTTACCCTAGCCTAGATATACGCCAAAATGGCGCTTTCAAAAATTTTGCTTGTTTAAGGGCCCGGAGAGCCCTGTCGCGGAGCCTGTCCGGAGAACGAATTGAATTACAGAAGACCAGAATTTCCGTATCTTTAAATACGGAAGATCTGTAGAAAAACTAATGGAAATACACTTACCAACAGATTCAGCTATCATAAACAATAATAATAAAGCAATGGCTACAATTAATTTATTTTTTGCATCTCTTTTACTTTCTTCTTTCATTCCAGAATGACAGTGAAACGGTTGTCTTTTTTGTAACATTCTTATATATGCCACCCTATCTGAGTATGATATCTTGTTAAAAGAAATATCTCTTTAAATATCTCCTTCTGTAGACAGATAGGCTTCCCTCTTCTTGACAATAGTGATGTAAATAATCTAGAAAATTCACACTTGTATTCTTCAAGGATGTTGTTTTACTCTCTTTCTGATCATTAATACTCCTCCGCCGTTGACCGTTAGTAACTAACTTACAGTTTTGAAATTATCTCGTTATTTCTATTTTATTTTTTTAAGAGAAAAATGATGAGGGTACCTGCATTGTAGTCTATCATAATATAATAGACTATTAATCACATGATTAATAAATAACATGTCATAGAAATTTTTAGAAATAATATCTGTTGGTACACTTTTGTTGACATCCCACACGTTGTATGCTTTGAGTTTTGAGCCTCGATCCAAAACACGCAGCACGTGGACACCGTGGAGATGTGCTGCCTAATTTATTTGACTAGTTAAAGGGATAGTATCTTCTAATACATTTCGCTGACACCTTAAATGTGGCAGGTTTTTTTTATCCCCACCTTTGATCAATACAGTATTGGACAATTTGTAACGTTATTATTGTATTTCAAATTTCATTACAATCATATTTATACGCGCAAGCGAATTATTGAAATAAAATTTAAAATGTGTTAGCGCTCTCTCTCTCTCTCTCTCTCTCTCTCTCTCATATTTATATATTTTTGTACCTTGTCATTTATTAATAAGATATTAATAAACGGCCATTTTGAATTCATTCACTGTGTTGTATTAAAATAATGAGGTTTGATGAAACTGAGCAAGATACTGTATTGTTGGCATAATACGGTTTTTAATAATTCAATGATGCTAAGGCTTATTGGAAACTTGTTGAGTGGCCTATACGGTTATTGAAATTGAGGGGATTATTTATCGATATATATTTATGATTTATGGAAACCTTGTTGAAAATCGTTGGTCTTCCCCTTTAAAGATCTTCGGATCTTTAGAAATCTTTATCGGGCGTTAAATAATTTATTTGCCCTGATTTGAGTAGATTTATAATGGACGTGTGTTCAAATTGTTTCCAAAATTCAAGGCAGGTCTGCCAATCCATCGATGATATCTAGATGTTTTAAGACTCATTTATTGTTTTCCATGCTATAATGTATTTGATAACTGGGCTAGTCCTCGGATTAGATTGTATTTATTTTTCTTGCTAACATTGATTATGCCATTTTAATTTCAATTTATGGGCTACACGAATTTTTAACTGAAAAATTGGCCATCAGATGGACGGGGTTGACACAAAAATCAAATACAATTTACAAAGATAAACAAAGAGACCCAACCCAAAAACCTTTTCAATAGACATAACAAACAAATGAACCAATTATCAAGAGTTCTAAGCTTTAAAATGTTTAGGAAAGATTCAGGCGAGACATTATAAACTAAAACATGCCATGCAATTGCCAATTATCCTATTTTAACATCAATAACTGTATTTTTTTTTTAGTTAAACAATATACATCATTTTAATATTTATTATGGAACTACACAGAAATCGTATAGGGGACCCTGATACTGTCGTTATGTTAAGAATTAATATAGCCGTTTTAATTAAAATGGTGATTTTGAATTCAATACTTCGATATAAATAAAAGAATGTCGCTGGCAGTATTGTCGAAAGAAAATTTAAAAGAAATCCATTCGAGGATAAAATTGATCACGTGCCGACAGATACGTTGTAATAAAATATTAGGAAACAACATCCTGCTTTGTTACAGAATTTATAAGTTTTAATATTTTTTTCCATAAACATATGAAGACAACTTCCCTTGATCTTGGTTTTCCGTTCTATGTGTATAATAATCTTGTTCAATCACTTAAACATACATTATGCAAGAGCTAAATCTGCCTATTGCAGGTCTTTCTTTAGGCCTGAAATGTTATATAAACTATTAATTAGATATTTATTAAGAAAACAAGAACATAATCAACTCTCGATGGCATCGGATACTCGAGATTTTAACTAGATTAAAACGGTTCGCCATTTAAATATTTGATTCAAAAATGGGAAAGCGAGGCCAAATCCCGATTAAACCAGTGCCCTGGTTACCACTGTGCACACATCTTGTCAAAACTACAATGATAACTTGGCTGAGAATGAAGTAATTTGAATGAAATTTTCAATATTTTCTTTTTTTAGCATCTATTTTTGAATTATTATAGCAAGAATGACCAACACTTTATTAAACTCTTAACTAATATATTTTTAAATTGTATTTCTCACATAGGCCATACCACACGTTATAATGTATTGTTGGGGAGTATTTTAAAATTTGAGGTCGGGTGTTCGATCCCTGCATTGGCCGAGAAAGTTCATCCAGATTTTCCGGCGTGGTTCTCCCTTGTCAGTGATGCAGGGAGGGGCTGACAAGGAAAGTTGTCTAGTCGTTCGGATGAGACGAAAAACCGAGGTCCCGTGTACACATTGGCGTGCACGTAAAAGATCCCTTGGCAGTTGGAATTCGATATAAGAGTAGGCCGTAGTGCCGCTGTCCGGGCAAAATTTCCCTCATAGCACACTGTATGGCGTATGCTCGTCTTCATTAGCCCAGGTTAGGAGCAGAACAGTAGGACGTTAAACCCCATTTCATTTCATTTCATTTAAAATTTGAAAGGCTGCCATATTGGATTATAAACGCCATGTTGAATAAATTGAAATTAAATATGGATCACGGTTAATATCACAATGATACAAGTTAATAATATATAAACTTTCATTGGTCTGGAAAGATTAGAATAATTTATGACCACCGAAAGCACTGACGTGTTGGATATTTTGTTGCTCTACTGTTTGACACATGCGTCACATTTATTATGTAGGTCTGTTCATTTGACGAGTATGCCTACAATTTTTGGTTTCCTACTTTCACTTTATTTAAAAGCATTGCCATCTTTGATAGTTTAATCACTGGCTTGTACGATTTGATGGAATCAATATTTAAACATACATTATACAAGAGCTAAATCTGCTTATTTCAGGTCTTTCATTAGCCCTGAAATGTTATCTAAATTATTAATTAGACATTAATTAACCTATCCAGGCCATAATCAACTCTAAATGGCAGCGCTAGCCTGCGATCTTTAGTGGATTGTAAGTCGATTTACTGCATAACTTTCCTTCTCGATTAAACGAGTAAATGGATAATCGAGACTATGCTGTTTATCGTACTGACTTTAGTAATGATAACCGAGGCTTATGGGAATTTCAGTCGCTTAGTTCTCGGTTCATAGTGGATCAATTTGAATGAAATTTTCACCAAATTGCCTTTACGTTATCTAGTTTTTAACTATTATAGTGAGAACTGCCAACTCATTACCGAATCTCCCATAATGTATCTTTAATATCGTTAGATTTTCGTTTTTGTGAGAGCTGCTGCAATCCTGGAATTTTGAAAAACTAATAATCAAAATTAAACACCGATCAACATTAAGAACATTATTACAGTTCATTGTTCTGTTAGAAAAGGGATAATTTATGATCTTGTGAAACTATTTGTAGGGTGCTATTTATTTCGCGGTTTGCTCCAGTCCGGGTCTGACTCCTTGATGCCAAACCCTCAACCCCCATTTCCAAATAAGTAGTAACTTGTGAGTATGTTGCCCTAGCATCAACCACCGCATCAATTAGAATAAACAGTAGGTTCAAATATGTTATTAGATAAAAAAAAAAAAAACAGATAGATACACATTTTATTTTTTTAAATAAAAACCCAACAAAAATAACATAGGGATTTTCCCTCTTCATATACAATCAATCTACAATATAATCTTGATATTTCATTGAATCAAATTAAAAACATCAAATGACAATAATTTTTAAAATTACAATTCATTTTTCATATTTTAAAAAACTCCATATATTTCTATGGGGAACTTCACTTGACAGTGTCCTTTGTGCCATTTAATGTACATGCATAAAATTACCAAAGAACATGCACTGGACCAATATATGTGTATTGGAAATTTCAGTACACATACACATACATGAATTGTTCAAATACACAAATTATTTTAATATAGGCATACATTCTGTCAATACAAATACCAGTACAGATATTTAATAAAAACAGATACCACTCAGTATCCTTCTAATAAATAGATTGCATTATCTCCTCAGAGAATGTACTGGGTATTTCCAAATAGAACATCATGTATGTTATCAGTTTTAGAGTACATATGTGTAACTGAGACTTGGGATGGATTGCTGGTAATGAAATAATGGACAACTTTTTAGGAATATTTCACAGTTTTCTCTCTGGAATTTTGTTTCTAATGATGAAGATTGATTGTCAGGCAACAAAACATATGCCCACAGCAGCAAGTCATCAGAGCAGTTGATTATTTAATCCTTATGGGGTAATGGAAGCATTATAGACAACACTAAGAACTCAGTAACAACCCATGAAGTAAATACCTCCTACATTTATACAAACCATGTATTGGTAACTTTACCTGTTTTTCGTCTCATGAACATTAACACTGTGTAAAAATTTTGGATGATAACTTTAGGCCAGTGATTCTCAACCAGTGTGCTGTGCCGAGAGATCTTATGAAGAAAATGCGAAAAACCATGCGATCCCAACTGAGCATTCAGTGGTGTCTAGTGATAAGTTCATAGCTGTGTTTTTCTTTATTTAGTTTGAGTCATTCTATGTGTCTATGACTAGTCTCTGTCTATGGTTGTATGTCCTCTGACTTCCACGTTTTTATTTTGCAAAATTCAAATATTTTACATATATATTTAACCCTGACTGTAAATATTGGAAAATGAATAGGCTTCTTTGTCTCATGACCATAAGCAATGTGTTTTAACTTATAAGCAAATTGTGCAAGACGTTCAGACAGGGATAACAACAATATATTTCAATGTGGGCATAATATAAAGATAGGCTGCCAGGCAACGAAACATACGCCCACAGCAACTAAATTGTCCGGGCAGTCAACAAGGGTTGTCGCATATTTTTACTTTTTTCGGTAATGAAACATTTATAATACACTAAAATCTGATTAAGAGCAACAACTCACGAAGTAATTATCAGAAAACTATTAGAATTTGTTTAGTTTTTATAAAGTTCTGCCCCATGCTAACGTTTTGTATGCAAAGCTTTTAATATCATAGATTTAACTGTTCAAGTCATAAAAATTCATTGAAAATTAATATACTTGTTCGTCTCAAGATCTTAAACTCTGTGTATCAATCTGAAGTCAATCGGATAACTTAAGGGCCATAACTTTGGCAGTAATTATCGGAAATCGTTGAAAATCAATAGGAATCTTCGTCTCATGACCTCAAACACTGTGTATAAATTTAAACTCAATCGGATGTTAACTTGAGCCTCAAGAGCATCCACAAGATTTTTTGAAGTGATCAAGGGCCATAACTCTGGCAGTAATTATCGGAAATCGCTGAAAATCAATAGGCTTCTTCATCTCATGACCTTAAACACTGTATATAAATTGAAAGCCAATCGAATATAAACTTTGGCCTCTAGAGCATCCACAAGATTTTTCAAAGTGATCAAGGGCCATAACTCTGGCAGCAATTATTGGAAATCGCTGAAAATCAATAGACTTCTTCGTCTCATGACCTTAAACACTGTGTATAAATTTAAAGTCAATCGAATATTAACTTTCGCTTCTAGAGCATCCACAAGATTTTTCAGAGTGATCATAGGCCATAACTCTGGCAGTAATTATCAGAAATCGCTGAAAACCAAAAGGCTTCATCATCTTATGACCTTAAACACTCTGTAAAAATTTAATGTCAATCGGATGTTAACTTTAGCCTCTAGAGCATCCACAAGATTTTTTGAAGTGATCAAGGGCCATAACTCTGGCAGTAATTATCGGAAATCGTTGAAAATCGATAGGTTTCTTCGTCTCATGACCTTAAACATTGTGTATAAATTTAACTTCAATCGGATATTAACTTTGGCCATTAGAGCATCCACAAGATTTTTTGAAGTGATCAAGGGCCATAACTCTAGCAGTTATAATTGGAAATCGCTGAAAATCAATAGGCTTCTTTGTCTCATGACCTGAAACACTGTGTATAAATTTAAGGTCAATCGGATAATAACTTTGGCCTCGAGAGCGTCCACAAGATTTTTCAAAGTGATCAAGGGCCATAACTCTGGCAGTAATTATCGGAAATCGCTGAAAATCAATAGGCTTCTTCGTCTCAAGACCTTAAACACTGTGTATAAATTTAAAGTCAATCAGATATTAACTTTAGACCCTAGAGCGTCCACAAGCAATTGTGGACGCCGGACCGCCGGATGGAGGCGACGACAATATACGACCACATTTCAATGTGGGCGTATAAAAATCAATTATATATGCAAACAACAGCTTAACAGTAATCAATTTAATTGCTGTGAAACTATATTCAAGAGTAAGCAAGTTTAAAAATAAATTTCATGCGTAATTCAATTAATGTAATTAAATAAATGGAACACCAAACCTCTAAGAAATTAATCAGTAACACATATACATTCATATTGAAACTGGACTAAACTAAATTTAACATCGTTACATCTAGGTTTTCTGTATGATATTTTAAGAGATCATCATTTTCCTAATACACAATCTCTTCGATTAGAATGTAAAATCAACTAGGTAATCTTTATCTAAAACGTGATGTGTTATCAACTCTGTCTTGAATCTGATGGCATGACCATCAATTCAAAACAAAGATGCATGTGTATTTTACTCTTGTATATTTAATCCCTAATTACATTTCAGTCAAAATTGTTATATATGGTCTACTGTTTCCATTGGCTCGTCTACAGTCTTGTAATACTGATTTTGCATCTAACTGCAACTTAGACAATGTTTTTATATATAATCTATTTCATAGACATCATTTTGGTCATTTAGAAAGCATTAGAGAACTTCAGATTGAACAATCTTAATGACAACAATCTATCATTCTAAGGAAAAATAACTGTAATCTATAAAATCTATATATTAAATAATAACTAAATAATCAAATATTAAATATAATAATATACAATACATTTTAAAATTTCATTTAATGTTAAAACAGTCAAAAGATTTACGTCTATGCCATGCCTAGGACTATTTATCCAGGACATCAATGCTTGGGAATTTAATTTACTTAAAATTATTATTTTAATTTTTTACATCCTTAATGGATCATTGTTCTTTTGTACTATTTCCATTTTGTTTTAATAATATGTATGTTGCTCTTCATAGGCATATTGATACAAAAAAAATCTTTCTGGTATCCGATCACCTCTGATTTACTAAATTTAAAATAATTCATAAAAATTAATATAACGGTATTTGAAATAAAATATTCTGTATGTTATCTAATTGTAATAGTTTGAAAAATTACTTAAAAATGTAAAGGGCAAATATTTAAAACAAATTTACATAGCTAAAACCTTTTGAGGAGGTAAAACAAATAAAAAAAATTGAGAAGAACTGCGAAATTTCTTTGTGATTAGCAGTTTTTCTAATGATCTTGGGTTGTTTCACAAAGCACATTTTAATTGTACATTCTAATATACAACTCTGTTGAACTTTTTTGTATGCAAATTTATGTACTCTGTGAAACAAGCTCCATATTTTCAAATTTTAATTAATCTTTAGTAAAAAATATAAACACATGCAAACAAAAAATAGGCTGACAGCAGCTAAGTCTTCCAAGCTGTCGAGAAAGGTTGTTACATATTTATATTTTTGTAGGTGATGGGAGTAGTTACAAGATACTCAAAATCAAAACTAATCAACCCTAGAAACAACCAAAATAAAAATTTAATTATCAGATATCGTTGAAATAAACACTGTATAAATTTCACGTCAATCAGATAACTGTAGCCTCTGTCTACCTGTACCCACAGCTATTAAAAATAAGCATCTGTCGGTCTCAGAATAATCCCTTTAAATACAAATTTCTTTCATAGAACACTATTGGAAGCAGGGCTATCAAAAGTATTACAGAGAACCAAGTACAGAAACTTATACCACTTGACAATAAATAACAAACAAACTAATAATAATTAATATGGACACACAAAATATAATATACCTAAATATATAAATAAAACTCATTTCTTAATTACTAAATAAAATATCCTGTTGCTTGAAATTTATTACATTTGTTCTAAATTTGTATGATACATGAAGGAAAATGTTAGCATTGTCATGTTTTTCCTTTCATATGTCATGCAAACTCATAAAATTAATAAATTAAACATTTTCTAGCCACTGATCCCATGGACTCTTATTTAAAATGGTGTATCCAAGACATATATATATACTTAAATACCTACTGGAAAGCAAGAACTGTTTGCATACTAAAATTAATGCCAATGGTCAAAGCTTGATTAAAATGTGCAAAAAAATATAATGTAATATAGCAGGGGAATTAAAATTAACATTTTTAAGATATTTGTATTCAACTGACCAGACTTTCAACAAATGAAAGGATGCTCTTTATTTGGAAATAATGATTTTAGACAATCATAGTGACCAAAATCAGACGTCAAAGAGAATAAATATGACAGAAGTCGAACTTCAAGAATGCAACATTAAATTAATATAACTTTGAAACATTGACATTTTGAGCATTAATAAATACCAGTACATGTACTAATTTCTTACAACAGCATGTATAACTATTATTTGTAAGCAATCCTGTGTATATCAGTGGTCCCACCCACTGTCAAATATAGATGCAATGATCATCTTTTTTTACTGATCAAGAATGTTCACTGACACTTGCATTGTTTTCCCCTACAGTGGATTTTCTCAAATTAGCTGGTTGTCAACAAGCCTTTGATTGGTCTAAAATATGCCAACATATCTGAGGTTAATGAATGGACAGGAGTGAGGGGAGGATTTCTGATTATGGAGAACTGATGTTAAAATGTTTAAGTGAACATATATGACATTTATTTTTGTTTAATAACAAATTAATGGTTTATGGGTAATGAAACTATAAACCTAAACCTAAAATTATTTTCATGTCAAGAATCTGACAGAGCACAACTCACGTCATGACGTCTTAATAATTTAACGAATGGGCCAGTCATGCCAGCACTTTCCATTTCTAAACTTTTGCGCTGTACCCAGGACATGTCCCGTAATTTTCTAGTTTTAATAGTTACTCCTTCGGTTGATGTTCCTGGAAATAAAGGACATTCATTTAATTTTAAGCCCAATTATCTCCCTTTAAATACAAATAAACACTACAAAATATATCCTGTACGACATTCACCAATAAAAACTAAATTTGACTGTATACTGTGGCAAATTATATTAGCGATTGTACTTCAATTACGTTTACATATTCTTATAATGCCGAATATGTTCTAGGGACACTTGCCTAATCTCTGGTTTCCTCCCACTGCTTAAGATTGCACAAGTGAATTATTGTTGTTGAATGTACTGTGTTACTCCCAAAATGAACTAGTTAGTGTTAGTGGATGTTAAGGCAGGACACTACCTTATAAAACAGACTGTATAGATTGATCTGTTAAATTTTGATATCATTTTTTATCAGCTAAAATTGTTCAATAAAGTCACAATTTGCTGATTTTACAAGCTCTAATGTTATATAGTGTTGAATGTTTAGTAATTTACATGGGTAAATCAAACTATTAACTTTTAACTAGCTCTTTCCGTACTCAATTTTCATCAATATCAGGTCTTTGAAAATTAAATTCTCAAAATCTATGAGAGATATTGATCTCATCTTTGGAATAAGGCTAGTGCTATAGCTACTGTGTGCAATAAGATTTTTTTTATTTTTGGACATTTTATTGTACAAAATGTTGTTAGTGGTGTTTTTGGCCACGCCCACTTGTTTTATTTGGGATGCATACTGTTCTTTATTAACAGTCAAATAGTAAAATTTATATCTCACTCTTTAATGTCTATATATGTTATTCCAAATCACACATAGTTTGTTTCAATAAAATTGGTGAAGAATTTGATTTCCTAACATACCCACTGTGAATATATAAAAAATCAAATTTTGCCACCATTTCCATGGCAACCAATTACCATTTTACGCTCAAATTATCAAATCTGATTTAGGACATCAATTACACTAAATGGCAAGTTTCTGTTATCAATGTGAAATTCTCTGAAACATTTGTTCTTTTCTCCCTTGAGTGGTCAATTCTCCGTGAGTGAGATCATTCAGGCTCTACTCATTACTCTAGGATTTTCACAATCTCCCAAACAGAGTTGTCTTCCCTTGCAGTCCACACTAACCTCTGCTAACGGCTCATTTGACTACGCCACCAAGATTCTAGGTGAAGATGGACAATGATAAACATTACGATTTAAAACAAATAAATGATAATATATTTAATACTATTACCATATTGAAATCGAAATGGTGTTACAATCAAAGTAACAATGTATTTACAAATATTTCAGGGAACGCTTTTGCGTAAGATTACGGGGTGAAATGGTCGGAAATACGAACTGCGCATGTCGCCGTGCTAATTTTAGAATATAATACTATTAATACACGTGGGTTTGTTTATCTATAGGCCTACTACGCGATCGACAGGCACAACAATTAATTTAGAAATGTCTGTAGTTAATCCAAATCAAAGAATTCTCAATATATGTTTGAAATATGATAGTAAAATCACTTTGCGGGATAAACATTTCGAATTGACTAAAATCATAATGTGTTTATAACGCCAAGTACATTTCGCTGACAGTCGCCTTTTTGATCAAGTAGTAAATCATGTGATCGATGACCTCCGGGTCAAACCTTTATAGTACGTGAGCCGACGGCAGAGTCGAATGCTGTACAGCGAGACTTGCGTGGAGAATGGGATTTTCAATGACCCTGATAACATACATGTATAGGTTAATGAGAAATTTTGATAGCGTACCAGTAAATTTGTAGAACTGCTCACGAGTATTCATGATTTCATGATTCCCAGAATCTATAATTATGTCTGGATAGAATGGAAAGTCTAAAGAACACATGATCTGCTCATTTGATCATGCCGCCCAACGCAAGGAATAGCCAAATAATGAAAATTGCCCAGCATGTAGCAAAATTTAATTGAGCGAGCCATTATATTCTATACTATACAAGTTATGAACATTAAGAGATTTTAGCCCTTGGTTTTACTGGCTCCAGTTCTATGCGTGTCAACCTGCTATAATCTGCATCATTCTATGATTATTTTTTTTTCTTTCGAGCTTGTAAAAAAATGTTAAGATCCACTTTAGACCCTCAAAAACCTAATATTGAAAATATGCAGGTACCTTCTTTATAGTCCGGGCTTGGTGGAGGTGTCTTGCGTTGCCGTTTGATATCATACGATTGGTTACTATTAGCAGTGCTACAGAGTTGTGGATATGGTCCTGAAAACATCCATTTCTCACGATCTTGTAAATATGATGTCATAGAGTAGCCTGGTATCTGTGGATGAATAGATAAACATACTGACTAATTACATATCTTATAGTATTACGATAAGAGATACTCTGCTGAGGTGTCTTATTCAAAGATACAACCCACTTTAATAGCCTGCTTTCTATGAAAGCTGGGGGGGGGGGGGCTGATCTGGACAATTTGTAAATAGCAGAATCTGAAATCGGACCTGGGACCTCTGAATTAGCGAGCTAGTGGCTTACTCACTGAGCTACCATGGCTCTTGTCTTGTTCCACACCCTAAGAGCTGTCCTAGATACATTTATGCAATCTCAAATATCATCCCCTATTGGCTTTGACACTATAATGACAACAGGTTTACAAAGTATGTTCATACCTTCTCTTTTAATTTTCGTCTACCAACTCGGATTTCTCTGCCATTCTAAAATTAAATCATGTCGATGTTATTATCTTGAGAGTACATGTATTTAACTTTAACAAAAAAAACTCCCAAACAGTGGTAGAGTCAAACTAAGAAGAACAAAACCATTTTCTTTACCAATCACCAACTTAATAACTGCAGGATTTTTAAAGTATCTGTCTCGGTTGACAAGAGTTTATTGAAACTATGGCCTACGGTACTCTTATATCGAATTCCAACTGTCAAGGGTTTTATTACGTGCATGGTTTTCCGTCCCATCCGAACTGCATCACAGACAAGGAAGAACGACAACAGAAAATCCTGATGAACTTTCTCGGCCAACACTGCGATCAAACATGGGACCTCCAGGTTAGTGAGCTAACATCTGACTAACTGAGCCACCACAGCTCACAAGAGTTTCTTAATGGTCTATTAATATAATAATGGCTAACAACCCGGGACATGACTTTCCAATACTTAGGTATTGTATGATACAACACAAAATAGATCAATTTAAACTGAACTTCAGCTGCTGGTAATGATAGTAATTTTTAATATCTTGGCTGCCTTATATAATAGGTGGAGAAACATGGTAACAGATGTTTGTCTTTTGGTAACCTCATTTAATACGACTTCAAAGTTCCTATGAGCTGTGCTGAATATCCCAACAGTCATATACACATGTATATATATATAGAACTGACAGAAGTGTTCAGTTAAGGGTGATATTCATTTGGGGATGTTTGAAGTATTCATCAAACACACCTTCCTGTTCCATCATTTACATTTTAAATGTGTTTTGCTCCAATACTTAACAATAATGCTTTTTTTATAATCTATGAGCAACAAAAGCCATGATTAGCAGCTCAACTGCCCCTAGGCACTACAAATATTATGGTTAGATAGGGGATAATGATAACAGCTTACATGTACGCTTGCTTACGCCAATTTCATAAATGTTTCACGAATAATTTGAATAAGAATTACAACTAATTTACTTACTGCTATCATTAGTCGACTGACTCGAGCTTTAAAACTAAGCTGCGATGATCTGGGTAGATTATCAAATGTTTTTGTTATAAAGCGCTGAAAGTTGACACTGGAAGCCATGTCTTGGTCTGTGACTCTCTCATTCTCCCACCACGGCAGATTAGAGGGTACACCACAAACAGGACCAGGTTCGTGGAAAAAATCACTCTGTTCATCATCAGCTGAAATACATGTATAAGGTAAGTGATAAATCCAAATGAGATGAATTTGTGTTATTTCATAAAATTCTAAATTAAAAAATTAAATAACAGCAAATTAAAGGATACAATGTTGAATTTTTCAGGATTATGATTCTATAAAGTACATGTGGATCAATGCTACAGGACAAGTCAATCTCATTCATGAATTTTGCCAACTAAATTTAATTATAACCTCATTTGGTTCCTTAATATTCCAGTATAATTAGCAAGATTAATAAAAATATTATGAATTAATTTCTGTTTCTTTGCTTTTTAACTTAATACTGGTAATTGCGCGAGGGGAGGTAATTTTATTTTAGTCACGATTGTCCAGTCTATTTTTTGAAGCGGCACAGAATTCTAAAGGCTTCGTGGACATTGCCTGTCCATCTATACACGGTCTATGCTTTAACACATTACCCGACAAAGAAACATTTGTTTACATGAAAAGCAAAAACTTATGACATATTTTGGTGGTGTAGCAATCTGATTAAAATCAGATGTTAATTATATTTTGTACAAGATACATTTACCATAATGTTATTTGCCGACTGCCGATAATTTCTTGTATGTATCAAGATATTTTGTTAAAAATGTCTAACATAGTACTTAATGGGCAAACAACCCATTACTTGGTATTTATATAGCTTCATTAATAAGACATTGGCAATTTGTGCAAAAAGAATAATGGATAATTATTCAAGGAAATCTCACTGTACATGTATGTTAAAAACAATATTTTTCATATCATCACGTTTTTAACCCACACCTCCCACTTGTTCAAGCACTGTTATTAGTGTTATGGTTAATTTAGCACAGGATGCTTGCCTAATACAAGTCTAATTTCAAGTCTTGCAGAGTGTTATGTAAGAATTATTAAGATCTTACCTTCTCTTGCCTCATCATTAGTCATTATACCACCATCACTCTCTGTCTCACTTGAACTTAATGAACTACTCTCCCTGAAAATAAAATATAACCCAATAATATATATTTACTAAGCTGTACAAGTACATGTAAGCCTATTATTAAAATCATTTCACAGCTGTAATATTCGGTATAAATGTCATGATGCTTATATTATTAATACTAAAATATATTATAACCTTATACATGTATATGCGTATGGTAGTTATATTTTCATGTATCGACAATCATAAAGTATTTCCCTTCTTCAATTCATCTATATTTTTGTAATGGGAACTCGGTTAAAAACTTGGAAACATTTATAGTTCTCAATAGAAAATTTAAGGGGGTAAACTTACATACAAATCTTGTAAGAAATATGGAGTTAAAGGAAGAATTGTAAGGATACAAAGTGTGAAACAATGAAAGTGACTCAGTCAGAATATAAAATTCTTGGGAGCCTCAATCTGCTGAGTAGGCCTACAGTACATGTAAGTTTAAAATGAACTTACTGAGAATAATTTCCCTGCTCCATAAGATCCGAACTATTCAAACTTGTAGACGGTCCAGAAAAATTCCCAGATTCTGCGCGACATTTTGAACTCCGTTTTCTTTTTCCTGGTAGTATGCTTTCTCCTTGAATTTCTTGGGGAATCATGATTTGGTTATAATCTCCTCCACCAATGTGTTTCAGATTTCGGTTAATACCCTGTAAAGTTTGGGGCTCAAAATGCTCTACGTTAGTTTCATTTTCCATTGGGGGGTCAACTGCCATGTTTTTGTATTTTCGTCTACGTCTTTGGGGTCTTGTAGGTGAGAAGTTCTCAGTGACAGAATCAGATTCAACTTGTGGAATTGATTCATTGATAGGGACCGTAAGCCTGTGCATATGTTTGCCAACGCCAATCAAAATTTCATCTGAATCACTGAACTGTGCCATGTGATCGATATAGCCTCTTAAAGTGTCGTCAATGCTGCTCTCTGATGCTTCACTGATAGTTCCGCAACGAGGACTTAAATGGAGATCTGAGCGTCTCTTCTTTCCTCGTCTCTTTTTATAAATTCTGCGTGACATTAACCCTGGAGCCACATTCTCTGCCTGTGCCTTCTGCCCTTTAGATGATTCTTCTAAAGCATTTGTCAAGTCTTTGACAAGCTGATCCATAATAATAATGTTCCCATTTGAAAACACTCGTAAGTTCTGAAAATCGCGAACTATGCTATTCTCCATCTGTGTCGGTATACTGTTGAGATAAACTAAAAATAGAGAATAAAATTTAAAAATTACAATCAATAGTGACAATTTATACTACCGGTACATAGAAATAGGATGAATTATGCTTGTCATAATACATAGTAAAACAAGCCAGTTTAATCAAGGCTTTTTTTTAATGTACTGAGATAAACTGCACAAGGTAAACATTTCTCTCATCTGGTAATAATAATAATATACTGTGCAATTCTCACAACCACCCACCATCAGTGAATTATTGATCAATAACAAATGGTCTTGTCCCAGTTACTGCTTGCCTCAGTCAAGGATTTGATAAATCGACCATAGTATAGATTATTTATAGACTGTCTAAATCAGCCTGTGCTGACACCAGCCCACCGCCACTTCCTTGGCTTTATCATTTCCTCGTTTTTTTACTCATTACATGACATTTCTCATTCCCTCAAAATATAAACAAAGCTATTCCCAGTTTTTGTCTCTTTTCAAAAATCTTCTAAGAAGTAAATACTTACATTATACATATCTAACTAGGCTCCAAATGTGATACAGGCCTTGATTTCAGAGATTTTTTATGTGTAATATTGACAATCTGTTCTAACGTACGCCATGATTGTTATTATGATCAAGGTCTCGTGCAGCAGCGCGCGATCATCGGATCACGTGGCTTTACAGGGCTATATTTAGCCGATTGTTTGCATTCAGTGGGTCAGTTGAATACTAGTTACCAATTCACTGTTATACAAAGATGTCTGGGGGAACGTACAAAGAAGAGTTTGGTAAAAATATGTTTACATATTGTGAAGCCAGGTAAAATTGTAAAATTATTTCAATAATCACAAAACTTCAAAATTCAACTTGAAGGCTTGATCTAGATCTGGATCGAATTCTATTTTGAGTTTGCGTTTCGTTGCTATGGACGCTACCAAATGACAGTTGCAAATCACAGCTGTCTATATTTTTGGCAATGCTTGATCAATATTTGCTTTATGTAACGAAATAGAATAACATAATAGCAGGCTATAATGTTTGATTTTTCATTAATAGTTTTTTTCTTTCTTCCATTAAAGGCGCAATACCACTCTTCTTGTAACTGAATAATATGTCCCAATCTTTATTCTGGTCAACAAAATGTACTATTTTACAATTATTATACAATATTCCAATTAATTGATGATACAAATTTCATCTTAACACACCTAATTTAAAATAATTGGGAAAATTCAACTAAATGATTTGAAAAGCCTGACGTAAGGCTTTTCAAATGTGACTTGGATTTAAAAATATTTTTGAACCCTCTGGACAAGGAAAATAGGATTTAATGGATAATTATTTACACAACAGGTAGGACACTAACACATCTAGTACTTAGAATAAGGCTATATTTTATTTTCTGGAGCTGTCAAGCCAGCAAGAGTGTTATTGTCCCTTTAATTAGCCAATTTATATTTTAGACCGAAGCTATCTTAGAATCGCCTTTATTTTGTTTTCATTCAATCAAGGTCTATTGTCTTTATTAATTGTCGATTATTTATTGTCTTTCACTATTCCAAATTTTGTCGGAGCATTGTTGCCTGTATAAAATCTTGTAGCTTAGTAGCTTTAGGATAACGTATAATATTTAATTGTTAAAACAACTGTTTTTGGTCGGATGCATTTAGGCTACGCGTAGATTCTGCAAGTCTTCAAAAATAAACATTCACAGATTTCAAATAAAGGACGATTTTTGATACAAGCAAATTAACCAGAAGTATGCAAATTAGAGGCCAATATTAAACCCAATTATCACTCTGTCGTGTATGGCCGGTGCGGTTCTCCTGCACTTATTAGAATTACATACTTTTCGAGGCAAAAGGGCCTTTAGCTTCGAAAGAATTTGACAATGGGCTAACGTCATTGGATTAAACTGTATCGATTCAGATTATGAAAACAGTATTATACGCCAATCTGAACGCTTTTAAATTAAACCCATTAATTACCTTGATTAGTATAATCCCATCAAGAACGGGTTTTAACGATTAAAGATTTATTGATATGATAAAATTAATTTGATAGAGAAAGGGATTACAAGTGGATTATACGGAACCGATTATACGAATGCACAATATAAGATCCGCGAAAATTAGTAGAACGACGTGTACAATGCGACATTTGAGATCGAAGGCGAGACAATAAAACCGCTGTCCTAGCAAATAAATATACTCCGCCAAATTAAAAACTTGACACTGATGAATTTCAACAAAAAATTTTTTCTGATAAGTCAAATAAATTTTAAAGTGTTTATAACGATAGTAAGTAGTAAGTAGCCTTTAATTTCATAATATTGTAAAGTCACGTGGATCACGTGACTTTTGAGCATATAAAGATGAAAAACCTGAAAAACACGTGCAAACACAAACTCGTGAGGTCAATCGATGCAAGTTTGCTTAAACTGAACACGCACACGTAACTTGAACTGGAAAAACAAATTAAAATTGTTATTTTCATCTTTGTTAGAAAATGCCGCGCCTTTCAAATGTAGAACGTCTACGTGCTATAGGTAGGCTCTATGTTGGTCAGTCTGTGGTCACTGTTGCAAGAGCCTTTAATTGTTCACGCCAGACAATCTTAGAATGAGAGTTCTTCAAACTGGAACTATTGCCGACCGCCCAAGGGCGGGAGCGCCACGTGTGACGTCACTTCAGAAGGTCTAGCAATACGATTACGTGATCTTAGAAACAGATTTGTCACTGCAACCTCCACAAGTAGAGAGATGTTTGGTGGAAGGGTAACTGCACAAACTGTTCGAAATCGCTTGCAGGCTGCTGGTCTTCGAGCTCGGAGGCCCTATAATGGACCAATATTGACGCCTCTTCATCGCCGTAACCGACTTGTGTGGTCCACAAGACACATAAGATTTATTCAAAGACAGTGGAATTCGGTTGTCTTTAGTGACGAATCTCGATTCACTTTGAGATTTGCCGATGGCAGGGCTCGAGTGTACCGCAGACGAGGTGAACGTTACGCTCAAGTATGCGTCAGAGAAGTTGACCGATTTGGTGGCGGCAGCGTTATGGTTTGTGGTTCATTTTGTGCACATGGACGTTCTCCTCTTGTTGTTGTCCAAGGGAACTTAAATGTTGTCCAGTACAGGGAACAGATTTTGCAACCTGTTCTTCTTCCGTTTATGCAGAGACATGGGCCTGGACTAACGTTGCTCGACCCCATACAGCAATTGCTACCCAGAATTTTTTAAGAAATGCCGGTGTCCAAGTCCTGGATTGGCCGTCGCTTAGCCCCGACCTTAATCCTATTGAACACATCTGGGACGAACTGGGTCGACGTGTTCGTCAGCAAGTGAATCCACCACTGACGTTGCAGGACCTTCAACATGCTCTTGCTGAGCAGTGGCGACGTCTTCCTCGGGTAGTGTTTAATCATGTTCTGAGATCCATGAGAAGACGTTGTGTGGCAGTACGAGACGCTAGAGGAGGCCACAACCGTTACTAAACACTTTATTCCGATTGTTCTCCAAGTCTGTGAATTTCATTTGGGGGGGGGGGGTGCTGTGACATCACGAACGTTATCAATGTCAAGGACTTTCATCGAGACGTATTCTTGCTTTCTGTTGATGTCAGGGTTGTCTGTACACAACATAACACTAAAATAGTTGCCTTAAACCAAATATTAAAAATCTAGTCCCAAAAATCCCGAGTGTCAAGTTTTTTATTTGGCTGAGTATATTAGCTGTTGCTCAATTAACTATATCAATTTTCATCCAACTGGTTTAGTTCAGGATGTTATATATCAGAATAAAATAAACGCACATTAAAGTGTCCATGGTTTTCTGCCAACCAGAAATGACCGTCAGAATAACTTGTCATTATTCGGCCTTTACTCATACTCATTTTCTAAGCTCCGGTATTTGCAATATTCTCGAATAATGCCCATTGATTGTCTGCCTATTGGTCATATTTGAAAACAAACGTTATTTTAGTTGCCAACCAATTTAAGAATTACAGTTTTCAAGCGCCGCTTTTCAGAAATGTGGATGTTGTAAGATAGTCATAATAATTGAGTTATAAAGCATTGTAACTCCATGATGCAAGGAAATGAAATGGGATTTAAATGGATTATTGGCAGTGGGAAATAGGTTGTCAACAAATTACGTTGGCTCAGAACTAAAATGCGAAGAAAGAGCTTATGGCGTCATTTTCTACTGTATTTAATGTCCAATTCAAGTGTGTGTGTGTTTTATGTTCACAGGGTACCGTCATTCTCCCGAGCTCACCCTATCATACCCAGATTGTATGTACAGGAATGGAAAACCGATATGAAGAATAGAGAATTGATTATCAAAGTAAGTTTTTTGAATGGTTTAACACGATTTTCGAAGAGGTCTTGCTTACACGGTCCAGGTAATCAATAACCAGATAGTCAAAGCGCTATTTAAACCATTCTTTATATTGTTCAAATTGTTTGTAGATCTTCGCATTAAACTGTTTGCCCATTTGAAACTATAATGTCGACGCTCATCGTGTTCTCTGGCAAAGATATCGATGTTCATTCTCATTGTGTTCTCTCTCAGAGTTATCTATGTTGTCAACGCCAAACAATTGGTATGGTTCACCAACTAGGAAGTCCCAGGTTCTATCCCGATATTGGTCAAGAAATTTCCTCGGGATTTTCAATCTGGTCTTCCCATGTTAGTGGCAAGGCAGCGTCTAATCGATCATATTCTTGAAGCAATGGCCCGAGAAATCCCTCTCAGGCCATTGCTGAATTGGCTTCGATACATTGTGTCCGTGTTGATAGCCTCGTTTTTCACGCAATTTGTTTTTCTGCAATATTCTGCTTAGCTACGAGAACGTAGCTAAAAACGTTGAGATATACTGATGTGTTTGTTTTTAGCTACGATTGGATGCCTTTAGTTCCAAGTGGCAAACTCAATTTCTTTATTAATGCATGTAACATCTTTAAAATAAGATACGTTTATGCTATTATGATTAATTAAACTTACAGAGGCCAATGTAGTGGTACAACTGTCGCCTATCTCCAAATATTCGCGTTTAAATTAATGAAGCGTGGTTTTTGTCTGACATTTACCGCCATCGAAATCCATTCATAGTTACAGAGCTTTAGATTGCCCTATTGATTGGCTGTTATAAAAGCCTTATATTTAGCCCCGCCTTCATGATGACAGCGTCTCGTTTAAAAAGATGACGGTCTTAGTAACGGCTTAACGCCTCGATTTTAAAAACGGCGATTTGTACCCGTTTCAGGTAGGATTATATGCTTAATTGTAGTTGGGTCCGGCAGAAATATTATAAATAACAATAATCAATCGTTGTTTTTATTAAAAATATTGTCAATTTTGTTTACAAATGCCGGGTGCGAATCGCTCCCGCATGTGCTACGTTGAAGGTAATGACCTCATGTCTTATCTCGAAAATTGGAGGGTTGAGAGATTAAGGTTTGTTATCTATATTCTGCTATGTACTGGTTAATTGGGCATAATAAAATCGTGAGTCATGAAGTAACGTTATGTAAACATTTGGAGCTCTGTTTAAAGCGTAGTGATATTGACGCAGTTAGCTATTGGTTGTCAATCGGACTATTGACCAGTCATAATTTGGAGCAGAAATGTGTTTCCTTTACAGCAATGTTACGTGGGATTAGCTCTAATCAAACGAAACACTGCGAGGAGTATGCATCGATCGATGTTACGAAAAACAGGCCCACTCGTGTAGTCGCTGACGTAAACGCCTAAGAACCCGACAAAGAGTAGGTAGAAACACTGTTGTCTGGCCAAATTTATCTTATACTGCATGCGTCGCGAATACGTCCTTATATCAGTGTTTTAAAATATTACTTTTGATATGAAATAACAATGAATCGAAAACAATTCCAATCTCTTTCCAGAATGCTCACCCTGGTAGAATTCCTCATTATGAACACGATGAAAATTTATATTTGGATAAACGAGAACAAATGTCTTACAATGTTGAAGATAGAAACAGAGTGGAATCAAAATATAAAATGCCTTCCAGATCGAAGCTACTTCGCCCAGACTTCCATCACGAGACCTCCCGTTATCAAAGTTCGTTGATGTTTAGAACCGACAAAGAATTTGCATAAAAAGTCTTAGATATGTCTTCAGTAAAGACAATTGCAATAGTGATAAATATAGCATTTAAAATGCTTACCAATAGAAGTAATAATATACCCGCTTGCAGTATTATTTTATAATTATGTATGTTTGCTACTTTCATGTTGTATTTTTTTATGCTTCTTCTATATTACATATTTTGTTGAGTACATTATGATTTATTTTTTAAACCAATTTATTAGTATTTTGAGAGCACCATTAACATTATGACATTATTAATGTATATACATGACATTATTAATGGCAGAATAATGTATCTCACATGACATTGTCACATATTATATGTGTATATTGCATAGTATATAGTTTGTATTATAGCATAATGTTTTTTGCAGTTAAATGTTGATAAAAAAATTCATATGATTTCAGTACGGGTGGTTTCATTTTAATATTACATTTTAAATGAAATATGAAAACATCGGTATTAAAATGATATTTTAAATGAAATCGAAGGGTGTGTATCTCTGTGTTAGATATTAGTTGTGTATTATGGCCATTAATTAGTGTACAAAAAATTCGTTTTGTTACTGTGAGGAATTAATGTTTTTATTATCATATTGTATTTCTTATTTTGTTGTTATAATGTACAATCTTAAAGACGGTTTTCATATTCCGTTATAATGTGGTGTGTCGAGCACAAATTGAAATAAATATTTTAAGGGTTTTTTTTTATGATTTTAATAATATGTTACAGGATTTACGTAGAGATTAATTATAGAAAGGGCAGGGATGAAGTTGAGCCTCTCGTCTACAATACTTCGGTCATTTTGAGACTAACATACGGCAGTGGCGTCTGTGGCCGTCAATTTTAATTGTCAATGATTCTTTTACGTCAACGGGGAACCCTGGATTCTCTCCCCTATTTCCATGTCGAGTGGAAAACGGCTTTGGAAAAATAATAAATAGTCCCACCGAGATTCTACCTTTCCTCCCCAACCGATGAATTAGAAATGAACCAAACCTACAAATCCGTCGTACGTGACAAGGAGTAGGATCTCCTTTCCATCTTCGTGGGTTTTCTCCGGGTCCTCCGGTTTCCTCCCACTGCTAAAGACACCTACGCGCAAGCGAATTATTGAAATAAAATTAAGCCATATGTTAGTCCCGAAATGACCTAGTCTGTGTCGAGTGGACGTTAAACTCTCTCTCTCTCTCTCTCTCTCTCTCTCTCTCTCTCTCTCTCTCTCTACAAATCCGTCATGAAAAGGGGATCAAATATTAACTAGCCTTGTTTGGAATGTTTGCCATGTTATTGTTTATTAAAGATACATTATGGGAGATTAGATAAAGAGCTGACAGTTCTCACTATGATAGTTAAAAAATAGATAATGTAAAGGGAATTTGCTGAAAATTTCAGTCAAATTGATCCACTCTGAACCGAGAATAATTTAGCGATTGAATTTTCGATCTAGCCTCGATCATCATTACTAAAGCAGGTACGATAAAAAACATAGTCTCGATTATCCAATTCATGATTTAATCATGAATGAAAGTTGAGCAGCAAATCGAATCCTAATCCAGTAAATATCGGAGGCTAGCGATGACATCGAGAGTTGATAATGGTCTGGATAAGTTAATTAATGTCTGATTAATAATTTTAGATAACATTTCAGGCCTAAAGAAAAACCTGCAATTGGCAGACTTAGCTCTTGCATAATGTATGTTTAATGGGATGTCAATTATTTGTTAATTTATCAAAAACATATATGGGGTGGTATTCAAGTTTAGTCGTGTCTTGGTGGAATCTCGCTTATAATTCTATTTACATGTATGGGCTTGTCCGTTATACTGTGAAAGGATTTTTGGAATCAAAGACACTAAATGTATACCAATGTTCATGGAAATTCTTCAACAGTTAAAATACGTGTACATCTTTATGACGTAATAATATATCTCTGCGAGTTTCATCTAATTACAGGAGCTAAATCGCTAACCCGATATTTTCCATAAAATTCGAAATTAAAAACACGAATTTAAATTCAATGTTGGCCAATTTCAATCAATATGGTGTTGTTATCTTGCCGCGAAATATTGGATCCTAATATCCAATATTTGAGACCCTATTAACATTTTATAATCAGTACGCGAGTCGTGTATTCTATGGTTTCGGAACCAATAAAAACAATTCCTACAAGGCAACGTGGAAGTAAATAGTAAAGGCTGGTTCACAAACAACGTAAAAAGACAACTTGTCTGCGATATCACCTTCGGTGGAAGCCGGCGTTAAACACTAAGAACAACACAACAACACAAACAACGTATTTCACCGCACATTATTGATTATAAATTCTTTTCAATAATTAAATATAAGTCTAAATCACTTTACATACGTTTATATTACATTAACATTATGTGCTTTTAGAACCATTTTCGTCTATTTCAAGGTTCCAAAAAATAGAGCCATACGCCATTAAGTTTAAAATCTCTTACAGTGCGCATGTAGATTATTGTAGATGTGGACGGGATTTGAGAAGCAAGGGCAATGCCTGACAATATTTATCAAAAAAGGGCACCTTAAATTTAGTTAGGCACATCTTGTGAGTTTTAACTATGTGCATACGCACATGGAATTATGAACACAGGTTGGAAAGCATAGGTAATAACACAGTATCAGAATACTAATTAAAAGTTTCTCCATGACATTATATTCTTGTTAGTATACATATAATATTATAATTATTGCTTGTTACCTAACCTCCCCCTCCCACAGCGCGTTACTAAAACAAAATTGTACCATTTTCGTTCCGAAATGACCTAGTTTGTGTTGGGCGGACGTTAAACATTAATTTCTCCCGCTCTCTAAATATAGTTATCTCCCTTTAACTAAAATTTGCGGATTTTCTTCAGGAAAGATTTTCTCTTTTGGAGTTTCGAATAGTATTAATTAACAAAATGGCCACGAGAAAGGACATGCTTACTTCCGTCTTTTTAATTATTTTTTGTTGTATTGTTATTGTTTTAAATGAAGGCAAAGAGACAGACAAACCCGCTGTGATAACAGAAGATAATTGGCGAAATATCTTGGAAGGAGAATGGATGATTGAGTTGTAAGTTGTTGCATTTAGTATGAAAATACTGAAATGATATCGACTTCTCGCCTCAGTGGTACTACTTGCTGAGTTGATCGCATTCTGGCATTGTTTGTCGTTACTGGCATCGACAGTGTGCCCTATGGTGTGACAACACGAGTCTAAATATCAGTTCTATATTACTGTCATATTTTTCTTCTGTAATGGGTTTAATGAACGCAGTTTATTTGCATCGGTATGTGATGATGACAATTATTGCCAGAAAGTCTTAGAATTAGAGCAAAATTTTGTCAGGGGCTTATTTATACTAATAACTCATGTAGTGTACCGTACTGCGTGATTGATGTGTCACCTGTCACTGTATGATTTATGTACAGCTATTACTGACAGTAACATTTTATATCTAACAATACACAGAAATACAGTAAGAGGTTGGGGTTTTTTAGCATTCGCCTCCTATAATATAACCCTTTCGATTACATGTCATTTTGGTCCCGCGTCATTTCGGACTCCCAAAAATATGTCCTCGACATTTCGGACTCGGGTAGGTGACGTTTCGGACTCGGATAGATGACGTTTCGTACTCGGGTAGGTGACGTTTCGGACTCGGGTATAGAACATAGAATTATAGAACACTGACGTCAATTTACTTTATAAACTATGTATTTTATTTATTAACATAGCATAATGATAATGATAATGATTTATTCTTAATATAGCGTTTTACATACATTATCAGAAAGCGCTTTACAAATAATACATAAATCACATGATACAAAATACATGTATATACAAAAAGATTACTTAAAAAACATAAAGGCCTAAAAATATTGTTTGATAGCTTAAAAATAGTGACATTTAAAGAGGTGAGTTTTGAGTGTTGTTTTAAATACATTGAAGTCACAGATGGCCCTCATCGCAACTGGCAATTCATTCCACAATTTGGGTGCATAAACAGAAAAAGCCCTATCACCATATGCCTTATTTGGTATTGGTCGAACCCTCTGATGGTCAAGTTTCACACCACTACAGCTTTTTGTCTGATTCGATACCTTAATCAAGTCACTAAGGTAGAGGGGCGCTGACTCACTATGGCGTATTAATTTAAAAATAATGCATAAAATTTTGAATAAAACTCGCATCTCGACTGGTAGCCAATCGATAACAGCGATTTATAACAACGGGCATGCCGCATATTTATTTGATGAAATAATAGCCTCAGTCGGGTATTCATTTATTGTATAAAACATAAATTCATACATTAACATAGCATACAGCGATTTATAACAGCGGGCATATTTATTTGCTGAAATAATATCTTCAGTCGGGTATTCATTTATTTTATAAAACATACATTTATTTTATTTATTTTATCAGTTTCATTTTTGGGGGGGCAGGTGGGCCGTACAAATGGCTGTGTTTTTTTTTAATAGCCTATCAATTAATCGCCAATCAATTAAATAGAGATTAAATAATCTCGACTTGGTTTCACTAATCAACAAAAGGAAGGTAGCAGTGCTTTTATTTTTTAATCGTTTCTTAACGGCTTTAAGAATCGCCGATCAATTGATCGTCAATAATCTAAACTTACTCAGATTAAATACAGTATTCGCCGATCTTAGTAATATTGGTTTTACTTCAAGTTCAAGGTCTGTATGGGATAAATAAAACACAACTAACAATGTTAAATTTCTTTATTATTTTGAATGGTCTGTCTTCAGCCTCACCTAAAACGAAACAAATAAACGTTCAAGTGCGTAAGGTCTGTATGGGATAAATAAAACACAACTAACAATGTTTAATTTCTTTATTATTGTGAATGGTCTGTCTTCGGCCTCATCTAAAACGAAAGAATAAACAGTGCATAAGGTCTGTATGGGATAAATAAAACACATACATAGAATTTTTCATCTTTTATTGAGTCCGTTATTGAGTCCGAAAGGTCGCCAGTCCGAGTCCGAAAAGTCCCCATACCGAGTCCGAAAAGTCCCCATACCGAGTCCGAAAAGTCGCCAAGTAAGTCCGAAAGGTCGTCAAACTGAGTCCGAAACGACGTTTTTGTTGCGTCCGAACTGACGCGGGACCGAAATGACATGCTACCACCTCTTCTGCATGCCATATCTGCTTAGTTAGGTTTATATTTGTACAGATAAAATACCAATGACAATGTCTTAACTCTAAAACAATACCAGCTCTACTATTAATATCGTATATGTAGCCAATGTAGCCATAGAATTTAGAAATGTTGATGTGGTAGGTTTATTATTGATATTATTGAAATGCATTGTTGAAAAGGTAATTGATTCAGCTTTTAAACAATGGTTACATATATACTATGGTTGGAATCCGTGTAAAAATTCTTAAAAATATCATAATCTTTGGAAGTTCAGAAATAACTGAGAAATGACATGATTTTAACTTTTCCCAGGTTATCAATCAACCATCCTCTTAACCAACAGAAAGGTAAGAGAGAGAGCCATCCTACTTATCATTCAGAAATAAATATTGTCTCAGTTTATCCAGACTCTGGACTTACCATTATCTCATTGACAGATCACTCACTGGAATGGTAACAATGACATTTGTATCATTAAACACTGCAAATATTTAAATATATTTAGCATTTTTGAATATTTTTTATTAGTTATGCTCCATGGTGTCCAGCATGTCGAACATTCCAGTCAACCTGGGATGCCATGGCAAAATGGTCCAAAGATCTGGATGTTGGTATAGGACAGACAGATGTAACAGAAAATCCAGGTATGTTAAAGAAAGACTCAAAGTTTTAATTGTTGGTTGCTTTCGTCTTTATGTTTGTTTTGTGTTGGGGGTTTGGTGGTCTAGATCATAAGGTCAGTCATTGAGTCAAATGGCGTGATGAGGAGTAGGGTCGCCTGCCCAACCTTGTGGGTTTTTTCCCTCGTTCTCTGGCTTCCTCTCAATGTTTAAGACCCAACCGTGACCGTATTGTGTTAGTCCTGAAATGGCCGAGTTTGTATTTAATGTTGGATTCCATACAGTTCTGATGGATTCCATGCAGTCCTGGTGTCTTCCTTGGTTCAGCCCTGCCTTCTGTTCTGTCATCAGAAAGATCTATGAGCCCACATTTTTTAACTGGCAGCACCGTGGTATTATTAATAAATAAATCAAACTGTTCTGTTTCAGGTTTAAGTGGAAGATTTTTTGTAACAGCTTTACCAACCATATACCAGTAAGTATACCTCACCTCATTTCATCCCAAACTAAATTTCATTTTATTCATATATGTATGGACATGAAATATGACTTAAAGGAGCTAAGTCGATAATATTTGGGATCTAGAAATAATAATGTAATAGGAATGTATATAAACTGATTTACATTCAATCGTTTCCATTTTTACCCTAATTTCAAATCAGTTATGTTCGGTGAAATACGCCAGAAGTCTCAGTCGGATGGCAATCTGTAGCATCAGGTTATTCCAGTCTGCACCGATAGTATTTATTGCACATGCTCTCAAGATAAGAATATGGTGTCACTGTTTGATATGACTTGTGGAATATGTGCAAGAATATGTCTAGCCTCAGTCTTCGAGTCCCGTGTTACAAATGGCGCTGAAACGCATTATGGTACACGATTTGTCTACCAATGGTAAAATGTTTATTTTGTCTTAAATATTGGATATCAGAAGCCCATCTTTTCCCGGTAAAATCACAAGGTCAATGTTGATTTAAATTGACAAATGTGTTTTCAATGTGTTAGAGACTTAGCTACTCTAAACTGTCTCTAGTTTTTTATATTTAATCTTTCAGTGTAAAAGATGGAGTATTTCGACAGTATTCTGGTTCACGATCAGAAAGTGAATTGATCAGTTTTCTGGATGAGAAAAGATTTGTTGAACTTGAACCAGTTTCTTGGATGCTTGATCCTAAATCTCTACAGTAAGTTTATTATCACTAATTCAGACACAACTGCTATTGTTTCCATTTTCTTATCAGCTCAGTTTGGTAACAATTTGAAATCTTGAATCTTGTACCATCACTTATCGAAATAACACATGAAGTATCACAATTAATTTGATTTTAGAATGTCTGCGGTAGGATTGTTTTTCAAGGCTGCTATGGTGATCAGGGTAGGTTACTTTCAATTTTGTATTTCTCCATTCATAGAATTCAATAATTGTTCTCCATTAGAGATTCTGTCATTACAATTGTTTTGATTTAACGAAAAGTTATGGACACTAATATGACCAATTTCCTAGAAAGCACACACACGAAAATGGCACAGGTCTGTATAATTCAATCAGTGCAAAGATTTAAATAAATACTAACATTCATAAGTTTTGCACGATCTTTGTTTTATAAAAGAATATTTTGTTTAATTCTTGTATATTTTTATATATTTCAGAGTTTTTATAATATGATGACAACAGAATATGGTATACCAGAATGGGGTTGCTATCTTATATTTGCTATAATGACAATAATATTAGGTTTATTGCTTGGTTTAGTAAGTTTAAAATGTTTGATACTTTTCTATTCTGACAAGGGTTCTTGCGGCGTCCTTTTTATGTCTGGCCGAGAGTCAGAAAAATCATATTGTCAATAATTTAAAGTAAGAGAACAAATTCTGAATCAGAATTATTATTTTTGATTTGTTGTACTTATTAAATAAGAGACTATCAGGCTTATTTTTTTATGTTGAAATTTTAGCCAAAGACCTCCGAAAGTTTTTATGGAGTCATTTGTTTATTCCAATGCCTTATTATTCTCTGCTGTGGATTTCATTCTTTTAAAAGTAAATTTTATTATTCTAGGTGATAGTGTGTTGTTGTGATGTTTTATTTCCACCCAAAATGAATAAATTACCACCCCAGGAAATACGACAACAATATGATGCTAGAGATAAGGTTAGAACCATGTGAAATTTATTAATTCATCTAGGTTGAATCTGAAATTCTGTGTAAAATTATTTCTTATTGTTTGTATTTTAATTATTCTTGTTACACATTAAGGCAAAAAAAATCAGTATTAGTAGGTAATTGTACTTTATTTAAAGTTATAACTTATATTTGCATATATGTATATATCACAAAGAAAAATAAATCAACATTCTTTCTTGTGGTGTTTGTAAACAATCTAAATATTTGAATTCATGCTAATTATCATTAAATTATTAAATGATTAATTTAAATTTCATAACCAGAATGAAGATTTAATAGACGACACAAAGCCAGCTGAAGATGATGCAAATGGTGATGAAGGTGATGGTGAAGCGGAGGAGAATAAAAAAGATAAAACAGTTAGAAAACGAAAACCTCAACAAGCTAATTAAATTGTTTAAAATTTATCAAATCTGAAGAACTTGATATTTTAATTGGTGAAGAGTAAGAGTAAATTTCGGGAACGTGTTTGGTGTATAACTTATTATAAATCTGAGAATGTCTAAAGAAAATGTAGATTGTAATTGTGAAAAATTTATTATTAACTAGAGAAATATAAGTTAGTTTTATTTGTTTATGGCTCAAGATAGACGGAATTGTGTTTGAAAAATGTGTTTTTAGAAGGAAGATAGGTACTGTACCTGTAGTTATTTTAATTGAACTAAAGCAGGTTGTTTGAATCTTAATATTTATAGTATGTTAAAAGGAGCAGAGTCAATTGCTGGTACAACTTTTGGAATTCTGTTGAAGTGATGAAAAGGCTTTAACCATAATACTTACCTTTTTGTTTTTATAAAGATGCTTTTGTAATTATTTAAGATTTATGTACAAAATTTTGAGAAGTTATCAATCTGGGGTTGAACATACATGAAACTTCATAAATGCACTTCGGGTAAACACAGAAACTAATTGTTTTTATAATTGAAAATTTTGTTAATGAGTCAATATTAAATAGTCTCTGTAGTCTCTTCCACTCTGATTAGCATTTGTTTACTTTAAGAGAAATTTTTTAAAAAATCATATGAAATAAATATAACAGAATTATCATTTTACAAAAGTTTGGATAAATGATCAATTTTCAGAAAAAAATAAACTATTAAGATTTTCTCTTATGTCTCTTTGATCAAAGAGTCCTTATTTTCTGGTCCGTATGAAGAGATGACAGATAGTCCATATCTATCTCCAAATGTTAATTCTGATATATTTTCAAAGGCTTGTAATTTTATGAGGTTAAAATTGAATGGATTTAGGATTTAATTAATGCAGCTTTAACTCTATATCCAAACAGAAAAATTGGACAGGGTAAGTTGAGTACAGCAATTGAGCAAAACCATCAGCGACTGTTCAACATGTCAGATGCTTCTCAAACTTCTTTCAATTTGTCATAATAAAGTGTATTGTGGCGGATTTTGTGATGACTTGATCCATAATTTAAAAATATTCAATTAATAATTGTTTTAATTTTCTGGAATTTAAGAATAATTATGATTTTATTAGTGTGTGAAACAAGTTTGTGCATATTTTTTGCTGTGTTAATTGTGATGGTGTATGAGAACTATTGACAGCATTTATCACTGGTACTATTTTGTTTTATTTGTTTAACATTCTTGACACAATGCAAGCTAAGGTGTGAAATATTATTTAAATTAAAACTTGTCCTCAGAATATTTAAAATGCGTGCATCAATTTCTTGCTGTATATTTGTATGGATTTGTATGGATCGCCAGCTGAATTTGATATATATGTGATGAAATGTTAATCATTATTTTGAATTAAAAATTAATAATTTTTAAATTTTGATTGTGTAATTCTTTTTATTTATTCTCTGTGTTAGCAAAATCATTTAGCAATTTCATAACTTTATTATGCTTGTTCACAGATTTTAAAATTTTTGGAAGACAGACCCATCTTTAAATAGTTTGTAACATTCACATAAATTAATTGTTTTATTTTTGTAGATAAATCTGTACTTATTCCAGTTATATATGTTCATATTGTGTGTGTGTATGTATGATTGAATGTCAAAATATCATTTGCTATTTTTTATCAGAATAAATTAAGCTATTTATAAAATAGTTTCATGTATTAATTTTTAATTAATGACGGAGCTTATCAACCGGAGCTTATCAACCGTGAATGAATACACATAAGTTTAAATATCTTCTTTAAGGTCACTGTTTTAGAACAGGTAGAGTTATGGTGTCCCTACCTTACAGTGTTATCGATAGATGTATATCAAATAATTAATTGACTTATTCAGTGCTGGTCCCGTGATTTGGAATGACCCGTCTCATCAAAATCGATATTTAAATATTCATACCAGGACAAAATTAATCTACTTTCTCAAAGTGCAACATAAAACAAACAATTCTGTGTAATATAATAGATAAAGCTAAAGATGCATTATGTAAGATTTAGAGAAAGATCTGGACGTTCTCACTATACTAGTTCAAAAATAGATAATGAAAAATGAATATATTGAACATTTCAGTAAAATTAATTTATTCTAAACAATGTTGGGAATGCCATTAAATTTGTATTAGGTTTATATTACTTTTAATCGAAATAAGACTTTTCCTATAGAAAGCTGTAGGCCTATGAGTCTAATGTCAGAGTGAAATGCGTTATCACAAAAATTCGAATTAAACGCAGATATGACAGACATTGTCTAGTCGACTCAACATCTAAGCCATCCGATGGCCGAGATAGTTGATTGTGGACTGTTCATGTGCATAAATGTATAGATAATAATTTATATAACATCTGAAGCCAGAAATACGCAATGAAATAAGCAAATTAAGCTTCCCCATGATGTCTCTTGAACAGAAAAAGGGGCTGTCCATAGGTAGTGATCCGCTAACTTATGTTGCTATTTGAGCCTTTCACAAATACGGAATTGATTTCCAGAACATATCCAAAACCAACTAGGATATAACATTGTGGACTGTTCATGTGCATAAATGTATAGATAATAATTTATATAACATCTGAAGCCAGAAATACGCAATGAAATAAGCAAATTAAGCTTCCCCATGATGTCTCTTGAACAGAAAAAGGGGCTGTCCATAGGTAGTGATCCGCTAACTTATGTTGCTATTTGAGCCTTTCACAAATACGGAATTGATTTCCAGAACATATCCAAAACCAACTAGGATATAACATTTAGTCTTAACAATAGCCTTCAATACATTGACGAAGTAACTGCTATAAATCACCATAAGTTTTTAGTTCCAATTTAAGACCAGGGTCCGTATTCAAAGGTTTTCTTAAAGTTCAGTAAAAATACATAATTTTCCCACTTAACCAAGTGTCTTACCTTAAATTGGTTTTCAAAGGCTCTATTTTATATATGGCTATGTGAAAAACTTAACTGCATACTTAAAATATGGAATACCAACATTAGCCAAAAAGCATGCATTTTTATACGCCCATATTTTTATGTGGACGTATATTGTCGTTGCCCCTGTCCGCCCGTCAACAATTGTTTGTGAACACTCTACAGATCACAATTTTTATCCGATTTCAATGAAACTTGAAATATAGATTTATCACCCTAAGATCTCAGTTCCTTTCGATATTGGCATCTATCGGACTGTAACTTCATGGATTATGACCCCTGATTGTACGAAAAATCACGTTTGTAGCTTGTGAACACTGTAGATGTCACAATTTTTATCCGATTTGGTTTAAACTTGAAATGTATGTTTATAACCCACAGATCTAGGTTCCTGTCGATATTCGCGCATATCGGACCATAACTTCCTGAATTATGGCCCCTGATTGTACGAAAAATCGCGTTTTTAGCTTGTGGACCGTATAGAGGTCACAATTTTTATCCGATTTAATAAAACATTTGAATATATCACCGTTACACCCTAAGGATGATTGAGTTCGAATTTCGTAGAAATCGGACCGAAACGGACGGACAAAATGGCCGCCCCTCGTTCGAAAACAGTGTCAAAATATTGTGTATCAGGGTTGTGCACCCTCTGGAGGTCACAATTGTCATCTGATTTTGATGAAACTTGAAATGCATGTTTATAACCCTAATATCTTGGCTCCTTTCTATTTTCGTACATATCGAATAGTAACTTCCTGAATTATGGCCCCTGATTGTACGAAAAATCGCGTTTTTAGCTTGTGGTCCCTCTAAAGGTCACAATTATTCGATTTCAAAAACCGTTCGAATATATCACCGTTACACCGTAATGTTTGTCGAGTTCGAATTTCGTGAAAATCGGACCAAAACTGCCGGACAAAATGACCGCCCCTCGTACGCAAATAGTGTAAACATGTAGTAAATCAAGGTTGTGGACCCACTAGAGGTCACAATTTTCATCCGATTTTGATGAAACTTGAAATACATGTTTATAACCCAAAGGCATTGGTTCCTTTCGATATTCGCGCATATCGGATCGTAACTTAGTGAATTATGGTCCTTGATTGAACAAAAAAATCACGTTTTTAGCTTGTGGTCCCTGTAAAGTTCACAATTTTTATCCCATTTTGTTTTTTTAAAAAATAAACGTGTGAATATATCACCATTAAACACTAAGATCTCGGTTCCCTTTGATAATTGCGGATACCCGAACTTAACTTCCTGGATTATGGCCCCTGATTGTTCGAAAAATCGCATTTTTAGCTTGCAGATTCTCTAGAGGTCACAATTTTTTTCAGATTTTAAAAACCATTTAAAGGAGCTAAATCGCTAACATTTGGGACCTAGAAATTGACAAAAGTGGGTCGCAACGCATATAATAATGTAATATGAATGTATATAAACTGATTTACATTCAATGGTTTCGGTTTTTACTCCAATTTCAAATCAGTTATGTTCGGCGAAATAAGCCAGCAGTCTCAAGCGAGTGCAAATTTCTAGTGTCTGGTTATTCCAGTCTACATACGCCGTTTGACTTGGTGCAATGTGTCTAGCCTCGTCCCTCGAGTCTCTTGATACAACTGGGGCTGAAGCGCATTATGGTACACGATTCGTGTACCAATGGTAAAATGTTTATTTTGTCTTAAATATTGGATATCAAAAGCCCATAACAAGTAAGATAACAACATGAATGTTGATTTAATTTGGCAAATAAATCGTGTTTTCAATGTTGAAGATTTTGGATGATATTGAGTTAGAGACTTAGCTACTTTAAATACACCACCATTCCACCATAATGAAGGTTGAACTCGAATTTCGGGAAAATCGAAACGAAACTGCTCGACAAAATGGCCGCTCTTTGTAGGCAAATTGTGTAGTCTAAGTGTGTAATACGAAGGTTGTGGACCCTCTAGAGGTCCCAATTTTTATCGGATTTTGATAAAACTTAAAACATATCTTTATATCCCAAAGATCTCAGTCCCTTTTGATATTTGCACATTTCAGGCCATAACTTTCTGGGTTATTGCCCCTGATTGTACAAAAAATCGCATTTGTTTTTAGCTTGTTCTCTATCCAACTCTTGCAAATTATGGGCGTATCCTGCCGGGCAGCCGCTGGTTAACTTATGGAATAACCCCCACTGCCATAAATCACGAATTACTCACGTTGCACGCAAGTTATGCCCCCTTAAAAGCACCACTGACTATATTCTATTAAAATCTTAGTTGTCATTACTAGGAAAATGTTTGTCGAAATAGTATATTGTAACGCACGAAAATAGTATGACTATAATTTATGATAAATTATGATGGTACGTATCCGTTACCGGAACAGCTGTTTTCGTATAAATGTTTTTCAAAAACAATAGATTTCAATAGCCGTTATCGAATAGTGGTAGTATAATGATGGATATTGTAAACTTTATTATCTTAACAATGTATAACGAATAGAAAACAACATAATATTATTAGCAATAAACGGGGCTATTGGTTTTAAAATTAAACTGAACAAATCATTCGGTGTTGTTTATCAATCTATCATTTGAGAAATTCATAGAGATTGTATCAGTTGCTACACTTTAAAATCCCAAATTACAGGCCATGACGGTACATGGTACATTGCGTGTACGATTAAAAGGCAATAACTAAAGCCCGTCGTACACGAGCAAATTTTCTTGTCAAAGAAATTTGCTCGTGTACGAGAGGAAATTTGCCACATTTTCATTTGCCATATGAGATTTGACAAAAGCTGGCATGCATAGCTTTTCGTCAAATAAATGTGTCAAATATTTGCATTATGCTCGTGTACGATAGGCCGTCAAATAAATTGCTGGCTTCGTACACGGTCAAAGAAAATTTGAAGAGACCGTCAAAGAAATTTGTCAAATTTTCTTTGTTCGTGTACGACGGGCTTAACACAAGAAATTAATTGTAAACCATTGGTGGTGCGCTTCGGTCAGCAGTCAACATCATATAGTTGTAAATTTATACAATGGAATGTCATCGCAATGTGAAATTTACAAATAAATCGCATCAAACTTTATTATATGACAGACATGACAAACATGACTGATTAAGCAATACCAACATGATAGATGATCGAAAAAAAAAACCTTGACCATTTCGGTGGTAGTAACCTTATACACTATTAAGAAAAAAAAAACAACAAAAAAAAACCCGTTTGATGCCAGCTACGCTCATCAACATTGTCTTTGTTTCAATCTCAATTTCCTAACTTTTAAAACCGCCATTACGGGCCTGCTACTACATTGTGTACTCCGGTTAAAAGAAGTCATTATAATCTCACTTAACTTTAAGGTACATGTATATAGGTCACTTTTTAAAGTGGATTTTTCTCACTTAAACTGGCCTTTGAATACCACTAAAAGACTAAACACTTATAAGTTAAGGCAGCTTAACTTTAAGGGAAAATTCGATACTTAACTCTGCCTTTGAATACCACTTACCCTTAACTTAAAAGTTACATGTATATTTAAGTGAAAATCTAGTAGTTAAGTGATTATCTTAGACTTAAGATATCCTTTGAATACGGACCCATATATTCAGAGCTATTGCATAACATTTCCGACTTTTTAATTTTGGAACTTTTACGTTTTCTCACCCAGCGGCGGACGCGGGATATTTGGTTACAAGGGTCCTCCGGAAAAAGTTTAAAAAATCGGGG